TGTGTGTGTGTGCGCGCGCGCGCGCGTGCAAGAGAGAGAGGGAGAGAGAGAGAGAGAGAGAGAGAGAGAGAGAGAGAGAGAGAGAGAGAGAGAGAATGCGCTTTGTCCCAACATCCGACAACACCCAGAATGATGGTTGCTTTGGACGCGCACCTCTTGGATGCGCTCAAAGTCCGGGTACTCGGCCACGCGCGCCGCGTCAATGCCCTGCTCGAAGAACCGGCAGCCCAGGAGCTTGCCGGCGGTGCACGTGCCCTGGATGCCGCACGCGCCGGTGCCGGAGCCGACTGTTGGGAACTGATCGGGGCTGCGGGTGCTGTCAGGGGCGAAGGACTGGGCAGTGGGAGTGATGCCTGCGGGGCGGGGCGTTCGGGGCAGCGGGGCAGGCACCCGAGGAGAGGTGTCATTGGAGGTAGCGATGCTGCGTGGGGGCGTGATTAGCCCAACGTGGGACGGTGCAGAGGAAAAAAAATATGCTGTTCTGACACGTTCTGGCACACACACAGGCTTATTGCAGGTCATGTAGCAGCCTGCAGGTGAGACTTTAGTCGGCGGCCCAGGAGTCCCAGGCCAGACGCGCACGCAGCCCGGCACCCGTCTCGCAATCCCCAAACCTCTGCCAAAAACAACACACGCGCCCGGCCTGGTCCTCGTAAAACGCACCCGTGTCGACGATGCCGATGAGGATCTGCCTTGCAGCGGCCTGGGGGCTACCGAACTCGTGTTCCCAAAGCTCCCCAGTGCCGTTGAGCCCGAGGAAGCTGGGCGTGGTGAACGTGTCGGGGTAGCGCCAGCCGGCGCGCGTCACGGACTGCACGCCGGGGCGCGCGCGGAGGGCCGCGGCCTGGTCCTCTGAGAGGCCGGCGGCGTGGAAGCCGTTGAGCGCGTACGTGTAGTGCTGCACCAGCCTCGGGCCCTCCGACGCCGCCGCCGCGGCGGGGACGGAGGCGGAGGCCGGGGCGACGCTCGAGAGCGCGTCGGACTGCAGCGCGCGCAGGTGCGCCTCGTAGGCATCGACCTCGGCCGCGGCCGCGGCGCGGACGTCGGAGGGTACCTCCGCGGTTGCCGAGACGCCGGCGGCGGCGGCGCGGCGCGGGCGCGCGAGCTTGTAGGCGGTGGCGACTGAGTCGTCTGCGGCGACGACGGGCGGGTTGTCGTTCATCACCACTATGTAGGAGGACGCCTGGGGGCCGAGGCCGCTCGCTGCGACCGGCGGGCCGTTTGGCGGGCGGGGCATGACATCGTCGCCCATCTGCGCGGCTGCTGACGCGAGCAGGAGCAGCAGGGCGGCGGCGGCGGCGGCGGCCGCCGCGCGGGAGCGGGCCATCGCTGAGGAGAGCGTGGGGGGTTTGGGACAGTGTTGGATGGGTTGTGGGGGCGGATGTAGGAAAAGGTACACGCTCAATGAATGCAATATTCATGACAGAAAATACCCCATGCAACATCTTGTGAGGCCGGATGGCTGCAGATGTTATGTTGATGCATCGGGATGGTGTGAGGGGGTTTCACCTGCTGCAACACCCCGCAAGTACATCGGGGCAAAGTACGAGCAGCAGCACCCTGAATGCCCACAAATTGTGATTTAACCACTAATTAAAGCGGCCAATGCTCCATGTAGTAGCTCACCTGCGCCGAATGGGGCGCGGAACCGCGGTCCGGCGCCTTTGTAGCGGCTGAGTACTTTGCTCACGTCGTAATGTGTATATGTCGAACTTAAATGTATGTGTTTGCCACTCTGTCTCGACTTTGAATAGGTAAGCGGCCCCTTGAGTGACTGATGCCGCAAACTTGTGTCACCCACAACGTTGCGAAACGCGTAGTGCTCCCTTACGCGGGGAATGGGAGCCAACCATACCATATATGGTTTGTAAGGATCATCGAACGTCGGATAGCGCTGGTACGCTGACCTACACCACCCCGTCCCTCTCTCTTCCTGCATTGTACCTGCACCCCAGGTGCTGCACCTTCTGAAGAGCCGTCCCCTGCCAAGTGCCCCCATCAACAGATACATACACTCACATGCACTCAGGAAAGTTGTTAAACAGCTGCTTGCATGGCATACGATGAGTGCGGCAACTCAGTTCAGATGTTATGGCTCTTTGCAACTAGGTTGGCATGCTGGCCGGCGCGAAAAAAAACTAAAAAAACCGAAAAAAACAACGAAAAACTGCGCAAAACTGCGCAAAACTATGAAAAACTACGAAAAAGTACGAAAAGCTAACAAAAGCTACGCATACCGACGGTGCATCGAGCCAGATCACTCAGCGATCTTGTATATGTAAATGATGATATGTGTTTTTTGGTTGTTTTCGTAGTTTTTCTAGTTTTTCTAGTTTCTGCGGCAGCACGCCGGCCAACATGCCAACCTAGTTGCAAAGAGCCATAAAGTCCTCATGCATTATTTTGTGCAGCGCACACAGCAGCATCCTTTTGGCCCCATCAGACCCACTGACACAACTGCACGGGATGCGACAGCACTTCACTCCTCCACCCTATCTGGCACGTAGATTATGTGCTGGCGGTGTGTAATTGCCTGCTCCCTCTGAGCTGCCTTTCAAGATTGTGCTGGATATCACAGAGCTGCGGCGGCCACATCAAATTTGATGCAATAAGCAAGAAAACCCAACACCTGGAGTCGTCGGCCGTTACACACACTGGTCGCTGTCACGCGGCGGATTCCGAGGGGACGGCCCGCCTGGGGATGACTTATGGTTAGCGGATCAACGTGGTCCCCCGCAAAGCAGTCAAAGGTCCTGCCTCACGACAGACAGCCGATGCCGACCAAACACCACGAGCGCTGCAGGTACCACGTGACGCTGGCCAGATTGGCCCGGCCCTCCCAAGTCTGGTCAATTCGGTTGCCTTGCCAGCTGGCGTCGCTGCTTTCCACACCCTCGGGCGATCCGTCACGGCGCGGCCAGCAGCAGCACGGGCGGACGGGTCTGGATCGAGGCGTTTTGGGATGTGTGGTGGAGCCTGCGAGGGGGCGCCGGGCGCCTACTTGGGCTTGCTGCGCTGCAATTTGGCGTAGTCCGCCACAAGCGCCGCCACCTTGGCCTGCAGAGGCGCGGATGGGGGGAGGGTTGGCGAGCCGTTGCCGCATCAAATTAACCGGAAGCGCGCGGCAGCGAGCGGGGCAGCGCACGCCGCACTGCTGCCAGCCAGGCGTGCCAGCGGTCACGGAAGCTCCGGCAAGCACCCCTGACTCACCCAAACACGGCCGCACCGGCCACCCCACAGCCCCATGCCCCCAACCCACGCGCCCTCGCCCACACGCGCCCCTGTCCCTCAGGCCCGCCAGCCGCCCAGCACGCGCGCGTACAGGCACACACTTACATGCACCGGCACATGCACACAAACACACATGCACACACACATGCACACACACCACGCGCTCCCCACCTTTCTTTTGGCGCTCATGAAGGCCTCGCCCCCCTCCTCTGGCAGAGCCTCGTGGGCACCCATCACCTTGTCCACCACCTTCCGCAGGATGTACCTGGGGTGGTTTGTTTTTGAGGCAGTGGGCGGGGAGGGGGTTATTTGTGGGTTGGTGGGGGGGGAGGCTGCAATGTTTTGTGGCTTGATTTACCAAGGCTCGTGTTCAGGGTGTGCGTGCAAAAGTTCTCATGTAGGCAGCACCCTCAGGTTTTAGAAGGGGTGGATAGATTGTGCAAACATGGTGGTTCAGTGAGGACGTCTGGCGCAAGCCTGCGATCGTTGTGTTATGGGGCCGAGGTGGGTCCAGGAGAGGGGACGCGGCTGGGCGGCTGGTCGCAGGCGGCTCTGAGGGATGCGCCTGGCAGAGCCGCGCGGCCCCGGCCATTGCATGAGCCCCCGACCGCGACCCAGGACGCTGTCTGCTGCACGGGCCAAGGCGGCCAGGGACGGGCGCGGGGCAGGAGGCGCAAAGGCGGGGGGCGGCCTCAGCGGCGGTGGGGTGTGCTCGCCTGCAGTCGTCCTCTGTGAGCTGCCGCGCCTGGAACAACGGCTTCAGCTCGTCCTGTGAGTGTGTGAGCGTGTGTGGTGTGTGTGTGAGTGTGTGTGTGTGTGTGTGTGTGTCTGTGCGTGTGTGTGCGCGCGCGCACATGCACGCCTGCACTCGTACGCGTGTGTCTGCTCAACGGCGCACCCGCCAGAGCCGAGTAGCGGCAGCCACCGCCCGCCCATGAGGGCATCACACACAGCATGTCGCCCTGCGACTCCAACAAAGGAGCCGAGCCCACGCGGCCCCGCCGAGGCCACCCCGCTCCCCACCTGCACGAAAGCCCGCAGCTCCCCCTTAGCGCGCTCCGCCGCCCCGCCGCCGCCGCCGCCGCCGCCGCCGCCGCCCCCTTCCCGCTCGCCGTGCTGCCGCCCCTGCGTTGCGCCCGCCGCCGCCGCTGCCGCCGCCGCGGGCCTCTCGCGCGACTTTGAACGCTCGCGATCCCCGCCGCCGCTGCCGCCGCTGCCGGCCGCCGCGCCATTCGCGGGGCCGTCTTTCTGATTGTGGGGCCGGAACTTGAATGACCCGATTGTCGGCAGCGCAGAGGGCGCCCGCGCCTCCAGGACTTCCATTCTAGCCGCCGCCTCCGCGATCTGGATTCAAAGTGGAGGAGGCGAAGGGGCAGATCCCAAAAAAGTATCAAAAAGAGTTGGAACCTGAATCGTAGAGAGGGTGGGTGCAGGCTGACTGCTGCAATTGTACAGCAACCAGGATGGCGCGGGGGGCCCACGTGGACCATGCATGCACAAAAAGAGTGACAGGTGGGGTTCCAACCCCACTCCCACCCCACCAGCCTAGCCCCACCCCCGTGCTGCACCCCGTACCCTGGCCTCCGCCGCCCGCCGCTCCTCCTGCTTCTGGCGAATCTCGGCGGCTTTCGAGGGGTCAAGCAGATCCAGATCCACCACCTTGGCCGCCCCGCCGACTGCCGAGCCCGCCGCTGCAGCCGCCGCCGCCGCCGCCGCAACCGTCGCTGCCTTGGGTGCTTTTGGCGGTGGCGCCAACGGCGGCGCCGCAGCTGGGGCCGCTGCTGCTCCTCCGCCGCTTGCCGCAGGCGCGACTGGCGCCATGTAAGCCGCCGCCCCGCCCCTGGCCGCCGCCCCCGGCACGGGCTTTGCCGCCGCGCCCGCCCCCGCGCCCGCGCCAGCCCCCGTCGCCGACGCTGCCGCCGGCGCCGCCCCGAGGCTGCCCAGCAGCGCCGACACCCCCGGCGGCCTCCGCGGCTTGGGCGCGCCCCCACCGCCACCGCTGCCGCCGCCGCCGGCGCCTGCGGCGGCGCCGCCGACGCCTGTGGGGCCCTCCCAGGCCTTCAAGGCCTCAGCTGCGAACCGCCGCACCTCCTTTCCCCGGTGCTCCGCCGCTTTGGAGCGCACCAGAGCGCCGAGCCCGGTCTGAGGGAGCAGAACGGGGTGCGGGGTGAGAGGTCAGGGGGTGTCGGCGTCGGGCGTCGTTGTGTTGCTCCTGCTCGCGCTGCATATGCAAGTGTGGGGCGCTCTGTGGCTGGCCGGCCCCCTGCCACCCTCCGGGTGTGCAGGGTGGGCGTGCGAGAGAATGCCACACACCTGAATAGCGAAAAAACGACTCAACATGCATGCAGGCGTGCACGCACAACACAACACCACACACACACACACACAGTCACATGCACTTTCACACACGCACGCACGCGCGCACACACACACGCGCGCACACATACACACACACACATACAAATACACACACACAACAACAACAATGCACGTTCACACGCACGTCACCTCCCCCCCTCCACCCACATAGCCACAAGCACCTGCTTGAGCACGGTCGCCTTGAGCGGCATGCGCGCCAGCTGCGCCAGCAGCGCCACCAGCAGCCCCTCGTTCACGCCCCCCCGCTCCGCCAGCAGCTCTGCCAGCCACGACGCCAGGGTGGCCACGCACTCCTTGTCGGCGCAGACGTGACGCAGTTGCTGCGGGGTGGGCGTGTGGGCGGGGGAAGGTTAGGGATGTGGGTGTATGTGTGTTTATGTGCAAGAATACGCATGTATGTGTATGTGCATGTGTGTGCATGTGTGTATGTGTGAGTGTGCGTGCGCGCGCGTGAGTGAACTGGGCTAGGGAAGAGGTGCGTGCGCCGCACGTTGCAGGAAGGGGGCGATACAAACGCGGCGGACCCTGTGAATGAACGACCCACGCCTGATTGGGCCCCTCGCAACAGCTTGGCTTTAGCGGCGCGGACTGGCCCCGGTTCCCAGGCTCGCGCTCCCAACGGCTGACCCATGCACGACCCAGCTCCTTCCCCCGCACGCACCTGCATTGTTCACACACGTGAGCACCAACCACACTGGAGCTAGAACTCAATGACTCAATCACATACTCACACACACGCACACCCCCTTGCCTGCGGAGGCGCAGGCTCACCCCCGCGTTGGCGTCTTTCAGCGCCTGCAGCATCTGCCCCCGCGACTCTGCGC